TGGATTGTGATGAGAGTTGTATGAGCCCCTAATAAAATGATTAGAAAAAAAGAAAGAAACTCACTAGAGCTGCAGCGAAATGGAACCAGCTGCACTGACTGAAGTGCACAACTTCTCCAGGAGGCGAGAGGAATTAGAAATGAATGCTATGGAATAGAGGAAGGCCATATTAATTGTAGCAAAGGAAAAGTTACTTTTAAACAAGAAGGCTATAGGAGATGATGATCATTATTAAATTATTAACGTGACAAGGTAAAACCTGATTGGCACAACGTTGAAGCACTTGGCTGCTAACAAAAATGCCGCCACGCAGTGTGATCTACTCCCATAAAGATGGTTGCTGCTGAGTTAATTTGGACTCATGGGGACCCTGAATGACAGAATTGCCCCACAGGCTATAGCCCTGGTGGCGTAGTGAGATGAGTTGGGCTACTAACCACAAGGACAGTCCTTTGAACTCACCAATTCGTCCATGAGAGAAAGATGAGGCACTGTGCTCTAGAGTGATGCTATGAGCCAGCACTGGCTTGATGGCATTGAGTTTGCGGTTTGAGACTTTTGAATCTTTAGGGAAACAGATCGCCAGCTCTTTTCTCTCTTGGAACTGTCAACTTTTGGCTAACCATTATGTGTCCAGGGCTCCTTTGGTCCAGATTCAGGCCTAGAAAAATCTATGTGAAAGTTCTGCTCTGTCATTTAGACTGACTTGGAGACCAAAATCAACTGGATAGTAATTGATACCAATCATTATTCGTGTAAGTCGCTACTTAGTACTGTCTATCAGCGTAGTACTCATAAGGATGCAGCCTGCATACCAGATAAAGTGTCCTAATTATGTTCTCCTCATTCCCCAGTGTGTCGTACCAAGGTACTTGTGTCTTGCCCTGTTGCTGTGGTGCAAGAAGCTATGCTCTGTGTATTTCACCTATGGTGGATAGGTTTCAATGGTGCTTCTAGACTAAGACAGACTAGGAAGAAGGAATAGGCTTGTACACTTGTGAGAGCCCCTCTGTTTAGAAGACACTCAAGATATAACTGGGGAAGAGCTCCCTCCTCAAAGTAGAGGCTACTTTCATGGTGTGCATGGAGCAAAACTTTCAGGACCTGTATGTGCTGACTAGACGTGATTTAAAAGGAGGAGAAACAGCTGTAAACATCCATAATCATCAGAAGAGATTTTGCTCTAAAGTAAATATGCCATAGGGAACAATCCATCTGTCCTTCCCCTTGTTGAGCACAGTGGCTGACCCCCGTGGGAAGTCCTAGAGCTTTCAAGGGAGAATGCCTGGTGAAGGGACACTGCAACTTGTCAGTGTCTTCCAGGCTTTTGTGTGTCATGGGCATGGATTGGTCATGTATGATGGGAAGCTGTTAGAAAACTGGGTAAAAGAAGGCAAGAAAGTAAAAGTTCCTTTTTAATCTACCTGTGAAAATAAGCTCCATTGAAGTGGTCTTAAAATATCTTTTATATTTACTTGATAAAACTAGACTCACTGCCATTGAGTTGATTTTAACTCATAGTGACCCTACAGGACACAGTAGAAGGTTTCGGAGACTGTAACGTTTTCTGGGAGTAGAGAGCCTTAGCTTTCTCCTGTAGAGCAGCTGGTGGTTTCCAACTGCTGACCTTAGGGTAGCTGCCCAACCCTTCACCAGTACACCACCATATGATTGATGTAGGAAATCCAACCTCTGCCTCCTCATTTGGAATAAAAACCGAGGATGAGAGTTGAATTGACTTGCTTTGCGCTATGTTTTCAGTGGAAAAATCAATGGATGAAAACTATGCTTAGCTCAGATATCCATACTTTGAGACACAAGAGAAACATGACGGTAACTTTGGTTGGAGCACAGTATTGGGCACAGGGCTTTGCATGCACTAGGCTATTCAGTGAGCATCTGTTGAATGAGTCTGTGTACTGACTGGAACCCAAACCCATTGCCATCGAGTCAATTGGGACTCATAGCGACCTGATACAAGGTTTCCAGTACTGTAAATCTTGATGGCTGCAACCACCAGCCTTGTGATTAGAGACCAATGTTTAGCCCACAATAGCCAGGACTCCCTATTGAGAATATGTCTGCCTAATCAGAAAACATGATAGTACTATTTTTTCTCCTTCTGTGGAAAATAACTTATGCCCCCTGAACAATAAATGCTGACATTTATTGAAAAATGTTAGCACTGTTTTTTTAATGGAGTTTTAAATTGTAAGGAGAGCGAATTACATTTTTTAAAAGAAATGATAGTTCCAAAGAATACAGTTGCTCTTCACTATTCAATTTGGAGAAGCTTTAGAGTTTATCGTCAGTTTTGATTAGAGATTCCATCGTAAAAGATGTGCTAGTGTTAAGATTGAATCACTGGTAGGATTCAAATTATCAAAAAAACTGGAATAGCTTGCTCAGTGCCATCAAACCAGTGCCAACTCACAGCGACTCTATAGGGCAAAGTAGAACTGCCCCTGGGAGTTTCGGAGACTGTAACTTTATACAGGAGTAGAAAGTTCCATCTTTCTCTTGCAAAGCACCTGGTGGTTCCCAACTGCTGACCTTGTGGTTCGCAGCCCAGTGCATAATCATTACCCCATCACGGCTCCTGACGGCTAGGCAGGGGAATGTTATGGTCGGCCTATCCCCAACTTCCACTCCACCTCCAATCCCGATGCTGGTTTCTTATGACTGGTTTTTTTTTCATATTTGAAGTTTTTCAGAATTGCTCTTTTAATATTCAAGTTATTGTTGTGAGTGAGATCCTTTGGGGAACATCTCTTATGTTATTATCTCTATAGCACCTTAAAATGTACAGTTCTCTCTCATGGTTGCTGTTGTTTTGGTAAGTTCCTGTTGAGCTGGTGCTGATTAATGCATGGCAAAATAAAATCTAACCAGAATTTTTAACTGCTTAGATATAATCATTTTTAGGAAAAATCAATGATGTGACTAGCACCATGTCCTTTTTTAATGGCAGTCTAGACACGTTCAGTACAGTCCCCTGCCCTTTTTCTGTCTTTGAAATGGAATGGGCCTTCGGGTGTGGCCTGAGACACTGCACACTCTGGTTTGAGACAGTGATCTATATAACCTGTTGACCTTGAGCAGTTGGCCCTCATTAACTCACAAGAACAGTAGTAGGGTTTCGCAGGGCTGTGCTCTGTATAGAGGCAGCAGTGGCTGGTGAGTTCCGATCAGGATCTTTGGGTGAGCCGCTGAACACTTACCTGTAACTACTGCCTCATCAGATCTCCTCCTTCAGGGATCTTTAGTGAGGTAGAAAAGCAATTCACACAGCTGAGAGGGTTGAATCAAAGGGATTGTTATTATTATTAAATAGAACATTAATTTAACCAAGCACTGCCTATCCCGAGCTTTCTTGCTGCCGGGTCTTTTTTTCTTTTTTCCACCAGGGTTCCTTTCCGTGAAGCAGTGATTTACATAATGATAGAATTAACTTGATTATTATGGAGGCCTAACTATAATCATGGATTGAATGAAAAAACTCCCTAAAACCCGTCACCTGGAACAGTAATCACATTCAACTTGAGAAATGTTTGAACTGCTTATGCAGCTGGTTTTCTGGTCTGCTGGGTTGGTCTGAGAGATTTAACTCAGTATGTCCAGTGCTTTAGAGCTAAGTCAGATATTCAGTTCCCAGTTAGACAGTGCCCAATGGATAAAACGTTTCCTTAACATTGCAGAATACAATTGGCACGGTCTGACTCCTTCATTGCTGTTAACTGTTTATCCATTCAAATATGTTTATGCGCAGGCAATAGTTTCATTTTTTACAGATTAAATAGAGCACACGGAATTCGGTGGTTCAGCACTTGAGAGTCACAGATAGTTGCTGACAATTAGATAATGGTTTTTGTAAAACCTTGTGCCCCGGGCAGCCTCAGAAGCTGAGACACGTTCACCCCTTATTTTAGGTTCAAAATAGGTGTTGAGTGGAATACAATGTGCCACCAGCAATCTTAACATTTTTATAAAAAATCCTGAGATGCTGGTGTAGAAAATCCAGAAAACCTACAGTGAAGAAGGAAA